TCTCGACGAGAGACCCGACATCCCCCTTGTACATGACTTCTGCGACTATGTCACGAATACCTGGGTGCATGATGATGCCTTGTTCCACAAGTCCATGTGGAATCAATTTGATAACGCCATTGACTACAATGAAGATTGTGTTATGTTATTGTCATGGGCAAGTTCACTTCTAAATTAGGGGTGGCCTGATTTTTCTCATTCTGTCTACACATTTATTATGTCTGCAGGCAGAATGAGATGTAGGCAGAATGAGAGTAAACCAAAAATCCTTAATGGGATCCTTTGTCGCGTAATCTGCTAAATATATAGTATTCCCAGAAATTATTGAGAAAGTTGTTTCGGCAAATATCAAATACATGGATATAATCCATAGAAGTTTTACTCAAATGAATATGTTGAGATGTGATTCTCTTGCAGTCTAAAGCCCCATTTATACGACGAAATTTTGCATATATGCAGATTTGCTCATGTAAGCAAATTTACACACATGAGTAAAAGTATATTTGCTACGTGTTCGTACGAGGTTAGGGTGACATATAAGCAAACAGAAAAAAAATCATTAAACATTCGTTTCTGACATAACAATGGACAGGGTAAGACTGCATCTGCACCGCAGAAAAAGACAGCTGCCGTTTTACCTCAGTGTTCGGGTTTAATTCTTGGATGTACCACTGACAGGAGCATGAGAAGAAAACATAGATCAACACAATGGGATGATAGCATCGCTTTACATCGATTTAACGAAACAGATTGGTTTGAAAACTTCAGAATGAGAAAGGAAACGTTCTATCTGATATGTAATAGACTGAAAGATGATCTGTCTCCCTTGCCAAATACAGTAGAGGAACCACTTCACGTCCACAGGAAAGTTGCGATTGCAATCTATTGGATGGCATCATCGGCTGAATACAGGACAGTTGGAAATCTCTTTGGTATAGGGAAATCAACCGTATGTGTTTGTATTCATCAAGTGTGTGAAGCAATCCTGAAAAATATTTTTTGTCGAGGTTGTTAAATTCCCTGAAGGAGAATCACTGAAAAATGTTATTCATGGCTTTGAAGAAAGATGGAGATCTCCAAACTGTGCAGGTTCCATAGACGGCAGTCACATTCCTATATTTGCCCCTGAACATTCCCATGGAGAAACTTTTACTTATACCATGTAGCAAATTTGCACCTAGTGCTCGCTAGGTGTAAATTTACATATGTGTGTAAACTTTGCATATAAGCAAATGCGTTCATACGACCAAAATTGCTTACATAATTATATTTACATATGTGTAAAGTATACTCATGTGAGCAAATGTGGTCGTATGAATGGGGTATAAGTGTCTTTTCAGTACTTTGTGAGACCTCTTTGCCCTGCAATACACGACTGAATGCACCTAGGTACACTACTGATCAAATTTTGTAGGAAATCGGGTGACAGCGTATCTCAATATTCGACCACTTCTTTCTTCATATCCTGAATATTTATAAGTCCTTTTCGGTTTATTCTGTTCTTCATTAGTCCCCACATGTTCTCAATAGGGTTAAGATCTGGGCTGTAGCTGGACTTGTCTAAAACTTGAAATTTTGTGAAGCCCACAGTGTGTTTTGGGGTCCTTATCATTGTCACGGGTTCAGGTCTTGAGATGTCCCACGGACAATAAATGATGGGACGGGGAACCTCGCTTAAGATATCACCAGTTTATGCCTGTGAAATAATACGATCACAACATGAGAAAAAGGTTGCACGTCCGACATGGTCGGATGGTGACATGAAAGTCGCTTATATGTTATTATAGGAGAATACATAGGCAATAAACAATAGAATTATAGATATAAGCTTGGAATATAATAGTTATGCCATAATTGTATAATTGATAAAACAGTGGCGGATCCAGAGGGTGGGTGGGGTGGGGGTCGAACCCCCTTGAAAATGACTTTAGATCACATTGAAGATTTTTTTTTGCGTTGGCAGAGCCAATTGGGGGGTGGGGTGGGTGTGGGTGTCAGGGGGTTCGAACCCCCTCCTTTAAAAATTCCTGGATCCGCCCATGTAAAATATATATGACGTCACACATTAGCGCTTCGTCCCGGATATTTACAATTGATGTGACGTCACGCATTAGCGATCAATTATAATTATAAATAAAGATAATTTGGTATACTTTAGATATAAAATCATAATAATTAATCATTCACAGTCTTACATGCAATGCTAGTGCTTAAGTTAGAAAGTGATCCAAGCGAGAGAAAGTTTACATTACGCGGTCGCGATTAATTACTACCTTAATTAGATATATGATATTACTATGTTTATGATAATAATATATATACTTGATATGATATAGATGTAGAAAGAATATATGTAGAGAGGGTGCTTACCTGTGAAATAATACGATCACAACATGAGAAAAATGTTACACGTCCGACATGGTCGGATGGTGACATGAAAGTGTCACAGGCATGAAACGCACGTGATTTGGCGGGTAGACGCAAACGGGTGGCACGTACAACTCTCTACATATAGACGCTGGAGAAGCAGCCTTCTGGTGAAATAATAAGGGGAATAGAAGGCTGTCGGCGACATCTCTCTTTGTCAAACAAATGAACTAGCTATGTACAAGAACTTCAAACAAAAACTTCTTCCTCTTCCGATTCTTGACGAATGATGGCCCCGATGGCCCCATTGATCACTCTGCATCCAGGCTGGTTCTGAGTCAGGTAGGCCTCTCCGACTGCAGAGCTTCCATCTTGACAGGTGATGCAGGTTGAACGCTGAAGACAGCAGAGATTGTGGGGTCTTCTGGTTCCACAGGAGTACTTAAGGGCGGCGTTGAAGTCGACCTTTCCGGAACAGAAGTGCTGGAAAATCCAATTATCTTCATACAGTATTCGGGCCGTTGGAAGCAGGGGATCATTTAAGATGTCAACATATCGTTCCTTCATTAAATTTCCAGTGAAAATACACAAAGACGCCACTCCATGTGATGATATCCCACCCAACATGTGAAATTTCGGGCTATGTTTTGGGCGTTGGTTAATAGGTTTCATGGTATCTTTTGTCCACATTTTCACACAGTTCGGTAAAAGACAGACATAACTTTCATCAGAAAAGAAAACATTATCTCAATCTTGATTTTCGTGAGCCCTACACCAGTTTAAACGTCATTCTGTTTGTGCATTGTTCATCAATGGTTTGGGAATTCCGCGCTTTTTCATCCAGTTAAGTCTTTGTAATTCTAGTCTAAAGGTTTCATTACATAACTGAGGACTTCCTCTATCAATCATCTGATTTCTGATGTTCTCAAGGCCTTTCAATTTTCCCCTACTCACAATCAGACCAAGTCCCCGGCGATCCGTAGTACTGAACTTCCTTGGCCTCCCTGCCCCTGTCTTGTGCTCTTGAAATCTATAACCAGATAACTCTTTTGCATTTGTCATACCCCTTTCAAAATCATATAGAACCAGCTTTCTTTTCTCTTCTGCTGTCTAGTCTGCCATGTCAACAAAGGAAGCCGTCTGCTACACCAGGGGAGATAACTCTTGATGTAGTAAGGTTCATTCTTAAGCCTACTGGAGTTGCCTCCCGTACTGAGTACTTGCTACATAATGTAATTACACCAATTTCAAAATTCTTTTATCTGTATCAGGAAACAAAGATTTTCTCAATAATTTCTGGGATAGCTGTAAATTCATAAAGTTATTAACTGGCCTTAAATGAATGATGAAAAATAAACATGGTGTAGACCTGTATATGTCATCAAACATGGGTTACAGCAAGAGAGTAGCAATTAAGACTTCGAGGGGATCGACACTGTTTTCAGGATATGAACGGAACTTCATTGTTGCATTGGAAAATCATATAAGCATTTGCTGTGTACTAAAGTTAAAAACTATACTCATGCCAATAATGGTTGTCACCCCCCTCCCTACCCCAACCCCCCTCCAATTAAAAAAATTAAAGGGGGTGACAACCATTATTGGCATGAGTATATATACATGTATACCTAAGTAATGTTATAAATTTTCTAAGCAATACCAAAGTGGGGTAGATATATGTAATGTGTGTATATAAAATGTGTGTTTTTTATATCATATGTCAATAGATATCACATTGATACATGACATGATTAAATAGCGAGGTAAAAAAAACCCCAGAAATAGGATCAAATTGGATCATTCATCATACCATCCACGTATAAGACATAAGTAAATCCGAAAAAGCTTATCCACTGCTGGGATACTTCATTACAATCAGACAAGAACTATACAGGAGATATTTTCACACAACGGAAACTGATGGGCATCAATTGTCTTGTCAATTGTGGTTCTTATTGTCTCATTGTTTCGGTTGAAATTATGTCAAGGTGGACAGGTGCCCAGTGGATCAGTGTAGTTTTAATCACTTGGCTACCCAATCGCCCCGAATAAATATCAGGGAAACGCGAAGAAGGTAATCTTACACTAAACAGGCTTATTTTACTGTTACCTCTTTTTGAAACTGAAACTTCTAAACTCTCAGATTAGAAAATTACATTTGGAAAGATGAACAGGTGAAAATAATTACTTCAGAATGTGTTTTCAGCAATAATTAAAGGACCATTCATGATTTATGGCTAGGTGTGTGTGTGATGATTTATAAGGAGAAGCATGGACAAGGTAAATCACCTTCATGTCGTGTACTAAATCAACATCATCGTTATTATTTCCATCAATGCATCATTGATGGTCGATTGCTCCTGCGATGTAGAATACAAATAAAGTGAAATAGAGTTGTCGTCATTTGTTGTTAAAAACACTAGCCAATATGAAATACTTCATGAGGGGCACGAGAAAAATGCAAGTTGGTCACATTCCACTAAACACCACGGTCTCTGAACGACCCCGAGCCACACAGCTGGGATCCTGTCTAGAAGGTGGCTAAAAGCGCTAAGCCTGCGGCGCGTACCAAGAGTTGAACTAGTTTCAGTGTTCGAAAAGTTTGTTTATGTGGATTGTGGACGAATAAAAGGCTCAGCGAGTGTTGCGCCATTTTTGCCTGTAACGTAGGGAATAATTTATTTACAAGTGAAAGTGAAATGACACAGAAGAAATATTTATTTATTAATGTACGAAGGAAAATCTGTAGGGGCCCTTCTGTTGTAATTTCTTGTAGAAATTCATTCCTTTGCCGGAATTCCTATTCGTTTGTTCATATCGTTCCAGAATTTGAAACAATTTCCTTCAATGTGGCGGGAGATCTGAGTGCATGACGTTTTGCTGGTATGTTACTTGACATTATATCAACGTAAGCTAAAATTATTAACAAAAACTAACACAACAATTACTAGAGAACTCACAAAAATAACTCAAAGCCTAAAAATTAATTACAATATATATAGGGTCGAACCACGTAGCGTTGTTAACCTCTGTTAATCTGTTAATCGGCGGAAGAAAGAATATGGGGGAACGGGAGGAACTCTTCCCACATGCTAACTACATGATGCTACCTCAATATCATTAATGATGTTAATATGTCCCACAATCTTTCTTTTTTAGATTTCAAAGAATGGGTATAACTGGACTCCTGCCATACTTGAAAAATATCCACACTCCAGTCAATGTTTCACAGTTTGAAGGTTGGACAGTTGCAGTAGATGCATACTGTTGGCTTCATAAAGGTGCATTTTCATGTGCTGACAAATTGGCACTTGGTGAAACCTCTGACCAGTACGTGAGTTTTCAAGCATAATCATATATATTTGATCCATTCAACATGTTCAAGTTGAAAAAATGACTGCAAATCTGCTGCAAATTGTTTTAATTTTCAGCTATGTGGGAGTATTTCTGTGTGGTGTAAAGCAACAGGCAAAGCAATTACTTCAGCTCACCTTTTGTTGACTAAATGCCCCCATATGTTTACGGAAGTGACCTCATGAACTACGCTCACTCGTGTTCCGGTAGGCAGAAAGCAGCAATGTCTGACGATAACAATGAGAACCGGTGTAGCGTAAAAAGCAAACAATGATCAGATTATGTACTTAATCCTCTCAATGCTGCTGTCGAACCCATTCGACAGGAGAGCAGCATAATGATATTCCCAAATAAAACTTGCAATAATTATTCAACAAGTCGGATTTACATGTCATTTGAATTATGTATGGAATGAACTTATTCTCAGGTTTCTAAATATATAATCTTCAATTAGTTTATGTACCTTAAAACGAAACGTCTGCGAAATAAAGATTTGTTCGCCAAAATACTCGTTACACACCCGGAAATAACGGCCATTTTTTTACTTCAGGCACATCACGTCTAATATTTTCTTCATAATGAAATAATTTTTTTTAATAATTTGATCAGTATTTTTGTTCTTTGGTCAAGAGAAAACACTGAAGTTTCCCATTTCCTAAAAATTAGTAACTTTCGGTTTAATTATTTATAAACAAAAACAATCTCAATGTTACATCACTGATTGGATGGATAGGAACGATCATGGCAATGGTGGTAAACAAACAACTCCACATGCATCGTGATACCGAAAAAAATGTGCCATCCTTTTGATAGATCCAACTGCTTTCGTTGGAATGAATTACATTGTCTCATTTAGGTAAATGGTATTGTCTTTGTAACAAAATTATCATATTTATCGAGTTTATAATGATTTTGTTGGATAAACCTTCCCACACTGACATTGTTGACAGCTGTGGGTGACGTATAAGGGCATGCCCAAACTCGCAGGAAAGCACGTAGGGCATGGCACTCATGGAGGTAAAATAGGCACGAGTTGGAAAACGACCATTGATACATTTTCTAAGTTGATTCAAATTCCCGTAAAATCCAAATATATAATAGAATTAAGTTTTCAATCACCTTCAATTCGTTATTGTTTGCTGTTTTCAACAGAAGTTGGCATTTTTTGCTTGCGTTGTACATTTTGTCCCCTCAATATTGCTGCCGGTGCGTAGATCTTTATTTTTACAAATTCGAAGTCGTAATGGATCTCGTGGGCGATGATTTTCGAATAATGTTCTAACACGGGGAGATATTATAAAATGTCAGTATGTCATAACAATAAAATAATATTGTTATGTGTCTATCGTCACAAGGACAATTCTGGTGATTGAAGATGCACTGAGTGTCAAGCCAAAAAAACAGAGTTGTTACGTATGTAAAGTCGACGATCAAATGAGTGCAGCTTGTGTGGTTCTCTCATGTTTATGTTTACCTTCTGCCTACCAGAAGTACTCGGGCGCGTCATGTGATCAAAACACTGACGTCACTGTGGTCACTGTGGTCTTCCCTATTGGGTAACTTTTAAAAAATTTCTTCTCATACATACTGTTCTCAGGATAAAGCCCTGTGAAGATCTGGGTTAGAATTGGTCTTCAGTAACACGTGCTTGTCGTAAAATCCGACTAACAGGATTGGTTGGTCAGGCTCGCTTACTTGGTTGACACGTCATCGTATCCCAAATTGCGCAGATTGATGCTCATGCTGTTAACTGGATTGTTTGGTCCAGACTCTATTATTTATGGATCGCCACCTTATAGCTGGAATGTTGCTGAGTGCGGAGTTTAACAACAAACCAACCTATGATAAAGGCCTGTTAAAATGTCATGTTGATTGATTTGATGTTTTTTGTTTAACTCTGTAATCTGCCTTTTACGTCAAGCATGGGTTGCTGAAGACCAATTCTAACCCAAATGTTCACGGGTGTGCCGTGTTGAAGGATTATGAAGCAGTATTCACTATTCAAGTATTTATGTATCAATGTATGTGGAATTTTACAAGGATGCTGTCTACAGTATTTTGTGTAGCCTGTGAAAAGACATTTCTGTGCATAGGATTGCTGGAATTGATGTCTGTTATCCTTTTTTCGTGGTTTTTATTTCACAGGGCTTAAAAATCCATGTGATTGTCTGCTTTTTGCCATGTCAAGTGGTCTGAAGGCACTGGTGCTGTGAAACACCCATGAAAGTTTTTAATTTTATCACTTGTGGATATTTGTTACTTTTGAGTGTGCTCAAGTTTGTGCATTAAAGGGAAACTCCAGGCTCCGGATAATTTTTCAACATCAGGGGTATGTACTCCTTATTTTTTTCAATATAGGAGTGCTGGAAAGCACTGAAGAGTACATTTACTGATGTATGTATAGGTTAATCACCCTTACAAGGTAGTTATTTAAATAAACTCTGCGAGGACTTTAGCCCGAGTCTTGTTTCTTGTCTTGTTTGGTCTTGTTTGACCAATCAAATTTAACTGTAGCAACAGGGATTCCCCAAACACAAGGGAAACACCAATGTGTTGCTATCACGTACATCCAAAGATGGACACCTCTTGAAATCAGATTGATATGTTTTAGATAAATATGTCTGTAAATGATTCTCAGACTGTACACCATTGCTGTGGTGGGTATGTGCTACGTTTTCTAAATTATTTCCTACCGTATGGTGAATATTTTTTATCTATACATACGCCGATACGGCCCTTATCTGGAGCCCTGAAACCCCAACCTTTAGTCATCCAGCCAGCGCCATTTTAATGGGCTATCTTTTTCAAATTATCTTCCCTTCACTAATCCGCTAGGTGCTCTGATCGGGACGGTCCAACCTTAAAGGTCACATGCAACATAAAACACAACTTTGCAGATTCTGATACCTTTCGGTATGGACTTACAGATACAAATCATCAAAAATGCAAATTCAACTTATTAATTTGAAAATAACGTGATGAAAATACCCCTGCGAAATCGGAGTTCAAACGATTCACTAAATTCACCCCAGCTTGGGGTGAAAAGTGGTTTCAACACCTGTGCTGCACTCATAGCGCATGCACAGTGAATAGGTTCGCGCAACTTGGAAGCGGGATGTCCGGATTATAAGGTCATGAGCAGGAGTAGTCTAATCAAAACAATTAGCTTAATCATGTCTAGACTAGATTATTGTAACAGTCTCCTCTATGGCATCAACCATGACCTCCTTACACGCCTTCAAAAAATCCATAATACTGCAGCAAGAATTTCCACCAGGGCGTCCAAACGGTCACACATCGATGCCCGTAGAGGCAAGGATCCATTTCAAAACATTATGTCTTGCTTATAGATGTCAGCATGACCTAGCTTCAGCATATCTCCGTGAACTAATCTTAGATCACAAGGCCCCAAGAAACCTCCGGTCAGACCACCAACATCTCTTGTCTGTTCCAAGAACTAAACTGAAACTCTTTGGTGAAAAGGCTTTCAGTGCATCAGCCCCAATACTTTGGAACACTCGCCCTCCTGCCATAAAGAATTCATCAACTATTGTGTCTTTTTAGTCCAAGTTAAAAACCCACCTCTTTGCTAAATATTTCTCTGAGTGATCTCTTCCAGTTCTGTTGAGACTCTTTTACTGTTTGTACAGTATATCAGCACAGGAGTGTGACACTTCCACAAGCGCTTTGAGCATGCATGCTGGATGGACTATAACGCTATACAAATACCAATATATATATGATCTGTAGGGAAAGTACAATTTTAGAAGGACGAGTGGAAAGTTCATATTACTTGCCCTACAGGGTGAGTGCAGATTTTAAAAATTTTCAAGCCCTGTCATGCCCCCGAGTTCGGTCTCTGTCACATTATGTAATTACACAGACAGGTAGGTGTGATACTTGTACACATGACATGTTATGATGTCTGTTGATTGCAAACTGTTATACACCAAACATGAGCATGTATTTACAAAACCCAACATCTCTATATACACACACACAATGAGTCGTGAGGGCATCTGCCAATGAACCAGCCAATGAAAGGCTTCATTACACTTGAGTGCACACCCACCCGCTCTGACTGGGTTCGGTATCCCGGGTGATTCGTTTCGAGGGAAGTAAACCCAAGTACCAAATATTGCACTTTTGATTTGTGATTGTACGCTTATAATTTTGTTTATATGTTTTTTCATAACCAGCAATGTATATTATATGTCATGAATAAGTGCAGGGGTGGAAATAACTTTAAAATTGCTAGTGTACACCGGTACAGTGGCACATGTAAAATCACTTGCCCTGATAACTTTTCCCCTGTACCAGACGATTTTCTTGCTGATTTTTTAGATAAACAACATAATTAACATTGGGAAGTCAACTGGACATTGGTACAGCGTGATGTACACATTTGCTTGTCCAACTGGAAAAAACTCTGAACTTGGAAGTCGGGCAATGTGTTCTTTTCACCCCTGAAGTGATAATTGTTTTAATTGTTTGTTTTTTTGGTTGCATGTGACCATTAAACTGACAGTGCATTTCGTTTGCGCGATGCGAGCTTTACGTGTTACCATGGTTACCACTACACTTGGAGATAGTTAACCAGTACAGCCTTCACCTTCGCCGGTGACTTTCACGCTAAAGTAATGCTGGAAATGCTTGGAAAATGCTTTTTGGCTTCAATATCAAGTTGATGAATGTGACACAAGATAAAAGCACATATATGATACAGATACATGTACGACTCTACCTATGGATATTAAAGCTCAGGTGAAAAAATGCACTTGAGGGGTGACTTCACAGGAGGAAATTTTGACGTTTAACAACATTCGTAAATATTCTAAGTACAAACTGTAGTTTTTAAATACAGACTATAATTATTCATATAGCCTCAACTAATGAAATTATATAAATGATTGTAAAAAGTTTTGTTGTTTTTTTGAACATCTATATGTAAAAAAGATGGAACTCTAGTAGTAGTTATAT